TCCGAATAAAAAGTTGAAAATTTAGCTGAAACTTTGCAGAGTTTTCATAATTTTTGCACAACGTTTGAAATCTGGATTTATATGTTGATTGTTATATAATGACTAGACGTTTATGGAAAAATAATAAACATTAAATAAACGAAAGCAAAATAGCCAATATTTATCAAAATGTTGCTGGCTTAATTAGCTGATCACAAGTGTAGAAATAAAATCTGTAAACTTTGTGCAAAACTCAGGAAAATTCAATAGATTTGCATGCTAGTTTGCATATTTCTAATCAGATTTTTCAGAAAAATTCTAAATACGCAGCTTTATAGCCCATTCAATTTTACTATAACAAAGTTCAAGTTTGTAGTTGCTAAAAAAACGCGTTGATTTTGAGCTCTTTTTTTGGGAGCGGTGTCTATATTCAGCCCTATTCTGCATTTCGACTACGTTCCCGCATTCCGCTCCGCTACAATGTTAATTTGGTATTCTCAGTTACGATCGAATCGAAAGAAGAGGAAGAGCGAAAACATCTTCGAAATCAGTCTTCGAAGTTGCCTAGGAATGTGTGGAATCGAAACAAAACAAAGGAAATAATTGCCACCAAACTATAGCAGCTTATGAAGTATAAATTTGTAAATATTTTAAAATAACTAAATATATCTAACTCATTTTAATTTAAAAATAAAATTTCGTTTGTTCTTAATTTATGTAAGGGGAAACATAATTCTATTGCTTGAAGAGAAGAACGAGTCCCAGATTGCTGATGCGAAAGTTGAAAAGCGGAGAGTTAGGGACATTTTTGATCCTTTTTAGATGAGTGAAGAATTATAAGAAATTCATCTTGAACTGCATTACTCACCGCTCAAAGCCAGTGAAATTATAAACGCGGTTTGAGCACTACAACATTTGCATTTAGTACAGAGTGGAAGATTTGAATGCAAATGAACTCGATTTTGAAAGCCGTCATGAGGAGGGGAAGAGCAAAGCTTATCCATCCATAGCAAATCGTATTCGAGACAACATACGCACCTCTTTTTAAAAAGTTAGTAAAAACGAGTACAATAATAAAAACATCTTTTTTTTTGTAACTCCACATTTTATGTACGTATGTATGTACATAAATCTACTAATGTGAAAAGAATAAATTGTATTCAGTGCATTTCAGTCTTATTTATAGATAATGATAAGTAATTTTTAGCAAAAAAAAAACCGACTTCAACTCCCATATAAAAATATATATATATATATATATATCTCATGATCCACTGATCGGATCTCAACCAGATTAGTATGGGACCACCTCTGAGACACTACCTTTCCGACGTGGTCCAAAGTTATGCGGTAACATACATAAAAAAAAAAAAAAATTTTCCGACGAACTGATAACCTCCTCCTTTTTTGGAAGTCGGTTAAACACAAAAACGCCTGGACCTCCTCTTTGATAATTTCGCGCAATATCCCTTTTGGTTGTCATTATTTGAGCCAATTTTTCGTATCGTCCGTATTGCTGCTCGCGAAAACACAGAAATCGAGAAAATTAATTTATGATGACTTTCACAATGATGCACAGTATATTGTACTTGATTTTTTTCATCAAATTTATTGTTTAAACTCACAAAAATAACAAGCGAAACGTTGTCCGTCAACAAATTTGCAACTTATAGCCCGAACCCAATGAAAACGGCGATCTACGGACCAAAGCTGTCAAATTATTTTAACACATACTCTTATGTAGATAATTATTTTGTCAACGACAGGGCTACGCGACGACTGTGGTTGTGGCCACATTAGATCTATTTCTAGGTGCAATCCCGTATTCCTCGGACTCGGACTAGTAAAACTGTCAAAAAATAAAAATTTGCTAAGAGCGAGAGAGTAACATTGAATAGTACGGGATCGGAAATGGTAACTTCTGTCAACTTCAACATAACCTCCAAATTTTGGTTGTACATTTTTGCTTATTTTGTATGTAAACACTCTCAGCTGACACAGGTAAATAACCAAAAATACTTTCAAATTCATTAGAATCCACTTAAACAAGTAATTAAATACTTTTCAACATGAATTAGCAGAGTCCACTTTTATTTACAATTTGGTTGCCAAACAGACTACAGCTGATCGTTTGACACATTTACCAGAATTTACCAGCAAAAAATTCTCGGACTAAAACTGGTAACTTCTGACAGATGGAGAACCGTATTTACTCTCTTTTTTGTCCTCTCAATAGTCAGAGAACCGAGTACGGGATCGATTTCTAACTATTTCTGACTAGTCCGGACTCGTACGGGATCGCAACTTCTATTTTTCCAGCGATAGATAACGTTCTTCCTCTTCTTTTATGTCAAACTCATGCAAATTCATGATTACGCTGCCGCGTTCAAATAAATCATGTCGCCATCGACAAAGTGTTTAGAGAACGAAGATAGCAAATTGGAAGCTGTGGCCCGTAGCTCGTCTTGTTCAATGTGTTCAGAACAATGCAACTACGAATCGTTCAATCGAAATGTAGAATAGGTATAATTGTAAATTTCGAAGACTGATCGAAACGAAACGGAACGAAGAATACCAAAGTTGCCGAACGGAGAAAATTTCGATTCGAGTCGAAATGCAGAATAGGGCTGATTAATGTATGTTTTTAAGAAACTGCTTGAAAAAAGCCAAAAAGTTTACCATTCTGCTACTAAAAGGAGAAATAGTATGAAAAATACTCCATTTCGCTACTAAAAGAAACAAATAGTAGTACTAGAATTGTATTCGCAAGCCAACCCTTTACAGGCTAACCTAATATTCACGCACGCCGGCAATTTATTGTCAAAAATTTCTCATGCACATGCAACTTGTATGGGATCAAACGAAATTGAACGGCATGTGCTGCCAATTTTTGTTCTGCGTGGCATTTTGATTTGACGTTTCGCTCAATGAAATCAAAAGCAAACGTACGCGAGCCAATTTCGGGTGACGCAAAATAACAAATTCGACGGCCTGCGTACCAAAACGCAAGCCGCGAATTTTACGTTAGCCTGTTATTAATCAATGATTCGGTCTCAGCCGGCTGGTCAAATTTGAACCGAATGGTCATGCGGCTCAGTTATCCCGGTCGCTCTGAAATTGTTCGTTGTGCAGTGAAAGCAACAACAATTGGTGACCAGGGATCATATGAGTGTCTGCGTTACCGTTGAAACACAATACCGACGAGCTACGAATTTTCGCACAGTAGTGCAAGGACGGCGGCAACTTTCGCCCAAAAATTTCGCTCAATAAGGCCCCTATTATGAGTTGCATTCGATTTTCGATCTTCGCTGGCTATCGAAAATCGAAAGGGAAATTCGTATTATGAGCTATGCAAGCGTGTCGAAATTCTCGTTGAGTATCGAATTTTCTGTCGAACAGAATTTTGCTTTCGTTGGTGTAGCGAAATGTTAGAAAATTTTAAAAATGTATGATTTCGCATTTGTTTTCTTACTTTTTGGCGGCTAGACACTAATTTCAAACAATTTGTACTAATTTCTAGCAGTTCTAACGTCGTGAATAGTAAACACAAGCTCGAAAGTCTGGTTTTACATATGAAAGAAAATCCCTTTACGCTGTTGGCACGATCTCTGAAAACAAAATCATGGAGCTGTTTATAGTTTTAATATGTTTTAAATAGATTTGGATCACAAAATTTCTTAAATATATTGTATGCGAAAATATATTCGAAAGACTGCACTAAAACTCTCACGTTTTCTGCTCCTGGCTAGTTTTTTAAGCCCTCATCCTCTGACAAATCGTTCAACCAGAACTCCGTTGGGCTAATTAAATTTTTTTTTACCACGCTTTTATAAACTCGCTTCCTTTTTTATTTCATTTTAATTTGCACAAATTTACATATGGGCATTCCCATGGTGGCGCACGTGACAGTCGTACGATTTCAATGTGATACAAAAAAGGAATACCATTAGTTTTCTTTAACTTTTTTGGGCCATTGTATAGCACATAATTAGCTCTATATTTAACCGAAAAATGAAATCAATCGAACTGCTTGGTCCTGAAATATAAGCATTTAAAGAGAGTGTCGTTACGTGACAAAAAATGGAAGTTGATTTTTTCTTTTCTTACAAAATCGCAAAACTCTGCGAATTGTGGATGGCTATTTTGATGAAACTTATTTTGATATGATTTGGAGCAATTCTAGTTGTTTTTAGAGTTTTTTGAATTAATGCAAATTGTTTCAATTCTCTTTTACAAGTGTGAAACGTGACGTGACGTGGCGTCACGTGACATAAATTTCCATCGTTATATTTTCGTTAATATTGCTTTTAAATGAATTTTCAACGCAAAAAAAAATATGTATTTTATGTAGAATATACTTTATATTTTGACTTCAGCGCCAATTCAGGGTCAATTTATTAGAAATTTATGATTTATTATGTTTCAACCACATACGCCAAATTCGAACCAAATCGGACCATAAATACGGTTTTTCGAATTATCTCGACCTTGGCACCACCTAGGAAGATCATTTTATGCAAACATGATTCTACTTACATAGCCAGTATATATTTTAAAAAGCAGACAAATCGGCCCGTAAATACGTTAAATATACAACTTTTATTTTTTTTGTCGTGGTGGACCTTCCGCTGGAAACACCCATATGTACATAGTATAAGCACACTATTTAGTTTGCTCGATCTGTAAACAAAGCTTCTCAGCGTTGAAAAATATACTATTGTGAACAACCTAAACGAGCGAAATTCAATTCACAATAGCGCTATTCTTCATCGAATGAGCACCATAATACCAAATGAAAACTCGTTCGATCAGCACTTTCGACCACAGTCGAAGATCGAATGCAACTCATAATAGGGGCCTAAAACACAATTACGGCGACATCGAATTCAGCTGCTTATGACAAGGTCCAATTAAAATTTTTACAAACAATAAGATTATTAATTTTTGACAAAAACTAATACAGTATTTTTCAATTTCGATTTAAAAACTTGAGAATATTTAGCATATGGCCACAATGGATCAAGGTTGGATAAATATTGACATTTGTGTCAATCGACTGCCTTGTAAGGTTGCATTTGAGAAGGAAAGAGAAGTGGGCAACAATTGTATCCCCTTTTGTAAAAAGGTAGTAGGAAAAGTAGTCTGGTAGTGCTGAAAAGCGTTTTCTATATACAAATTTAATTAAATATCTACACAATAGACAAAGAATTAACTTTTTACGGCCATATAGATATAAAAAATGAAATAAATGAATATTAAAATAAAATTCTCACCAAAGAAAAATCTATAGACAAATATTCCCATATATTCAAAATAAACCACAGTTTTTTTTTTTTAATTTAAATATTTTAGTCTTGCTAATCATTATATTGGTTACATTTAAAATTTAGATCTTCAATATCGTAATCTAATTACATTTGGTTTGTTAAACATGTAATTTTTTTTTAATGTTTTTTTTCTTTTTTCTCTAATCAGTCTTGTTAATAATTATATTGGTTACACTTTAAAAATATCTCTTCAATATCGTAATTTAATTACATTTGGTTTTTTTTAAATGTAAATTTTTGGTAATGTTTTCAACTATTTTCTCCAATCAGTCTTGTAAGTCATTATATTTGTTACATTTAAAAATTAGATCTTGAGTATCGTAATTTAATTACATTTGGTTTTTTAAATATGCAAAGGGTGCACTTGACCAACCCAAAGGCTGCAGTGGTAAAAAATTCCTGCAACAGCGAATGTGGACGGACACTCAAATGATCTTGACCTGCACAAGAAATTATCTTTATTAATATTAGCACTTTCACTTGTATGGCGTGGTATACATACTTGTAAATATGCAAAGGCTGCAGTTGACTAACCCAAAGGATGCAGTAGTAAAAATCTCTGTACCAGCTAATGTGGACGGACACACAAACGATCCTGGCCTGCGTAAGAAAATATCTTTATTAATATTTGCACATTCACTTCCATGGGGTAGTATACATTTATTTATTTCTTTATTAATATTTGCACTTTCACTTTTATGGGGTGGTATACATACTTGTAAATATGCAAAGGCTGCACTTGACTAAACCAAAGGATGCAGTAGTAAAAATCCCTGCACCAGCTGATATGGACGGACACGCAAACGATCCTGGCCTGCACAAGAAAATATCTTTATTAATATTTGCACTTTCACTTTCATGGGGTAGTATACATACTTGTAAATATGCAAAGGCTGCAGTTGACTAAACCAAAGGATGCAGTAGTAAAAATCCCTGCACCAGCTAATGTGGACGGACACACAAATAATCTTAACCTGTACAAAAAAATATCTTTATTAATATTTGCACTTTCGCATTTACGGAGTGGTATACTTACTTGTAAATATGCAAAGGCTGCACTTGAGCAAAGTAGTTCCGAGTGGACTGCACCAGCCATACGTGGACGGATACACAGGGATCCTAACACGCAAAACTTACTTGCAACGGCTGCACTTCTTGTAAAGCGCTACTTTTTCAATACAAATTATGAATAACTCCGATACCCTGCAAGTAAATATGTAAATTATTGTTTTAGTTCAAAATATTTTCATTATTTTGATTTTTTTTGGCATACTTACTAGGGATGCACGATATTCATCGATATTCGATATTATCGATGATACGACTAAAATATCGATGTTTTATAATTGATTGCAAACTATGTGGAACATCGGCACATCGATACTTGCACACATAATCGAAGCGTCGATGATTCGAGATATTCACTGTTCATACATATATCGTCGCCTAGGTAAGCCGTAAGCGCAATTTTGACGATTTTTAGTTTTAGATGCAGTTATACGTTTAGAAATACATGCCAGTATAAATGAACCTTCATTTCCATTTAACACGCGTGTTTTCTCAGACCGTATGCGTACCTTAATCATACACTTGTACTACTGCTGTATGCATATGGCTGTATTAATGTTTCAAACATACTAAAATGCATTAATGGAACAGTATTAAAGCATTCTTACAAGATCCCCATAGGTAAATGCTACTTTTCTGATACATTTTAATATACGGGGACATACAAACAAGTAGCACTTACATATGCAAATGCATATCTTGTAAAAGCCCGTTTGTGCTGAAAATAGTGTTAAGATTATCCTTGAAACCTTGAGGGATTTTCCCAAATATCTTGCGGCTCGTATCGCTGGATTGTTAAATAAATGCTAATGATGACCAAATTGGAGTATAATTAACTTTATTGTACAACAAACAACTTACAATACTTGATATTACAGTAAAACACTTTGCAATACTTGTTAAAGCAATAACAACGCTTTACTAAACTTGTTAACACAATTAAACTTATAGCTTGCTTAGTCGCAACTCACTTCTCTGCTCACTTTACTTGTAGCTTGCTGACTTGTAACTGTCCCACTTCGCTGTGGCGGCGCCCTTATATACCTGCGCTCGTACTTATGGCAACTCTAGAACGTTCTGAAGTTTATCGCTCATTCTCTTTCTCTCGCTGTTCGCAGTGTTCATCCAACTTGACGTTTCTCTTTGTGGAGCATTCTACGTCTTTCCTCGAACATTCTGCCTCTTTCTCGTTGTTCGCTTCGCGTTTCCGCAGTATTCGTCTCACTGCCCTCCACCTAAGTCTGATCGTCCCGATCAGATACACTTGCTGTTCCAAACGATGCAAGCCATTCCAAGTGGACCACCTTCATCTTGTTTCTTGGTCTCCCAACGGTCTGGATTCGATACACTACGTCATTCAGCCGTTTGACGACCTTATACGGACCTTCCCAGTTGCATTGCAGTTTTGGGGACAAACCTTTCTTCCGTTGTGGATTGTACAGCAACTTTAAGTCTCCCTCTTGGAAACCCTCGGAGTTCATTGCCTTATCATATCTGGCCTTCATCTTGTCACTCATAATTTGAGTTCGCTGCCTCACAAGAGCATGTATTTCTCTTAACTCCTCTTCCAGGATGTTGGACGTCTCTTTCCCAATTCTCCTTGCATCGCCAGTTACTCCAAACTTCAGGTCACTAGGCAAACGGAGCTCACTGCCGAAGATTACCCTTGCAGGAGTTTTACCCGTTGTTTCGTGCACTGCTGACCGGTATCCCATCAGGAACAGGGGTATGCGGACATCCCAATCTTTCTGAGTTTTGTCCACGACCTTCTGCAAATGCTCTTTCAGGGTTCGGTTGAACCGCTCCACCATGCCATCTGATTGGGGATGAAGAGCCGTTGTTCGAGTTTTCCGGATACCCAGTATCTGGCACATCTCTTGGAACACCGCCGATTCAAAATTTCTTCCCTGGTCAGAGTGCAGCTCTATAGGTACACCGTATCTCGCAACCCAATTGTAGGTGAATACATCCGCTGTTTTAGCTTCCTGGTTTGGAATCGGGTATACCTCCGGCCATTTGCTAAAATAGTCCATAACCACAAGGACGTATTTGTTTCCCTGTGCGCTCATAGGAAATGGACCGGCTACATCCATGGCAATCCACTCGAAAGGTGCACCTGAGTTATATTGCTTCATCTGGCCATGACTTCTGGATTTCGGCCCCTTATACCATGTCCCCACCAAAAAGTTAACCATCTCAAATCGAACTTAACCACATCACTAACTATTGCTGTCCACATTGCGGTTTGAGGTTTATAAAACAGTACAAATGTAAAGAACAGTGTTCGGACCTCCAAAAATTGATTCAGGACTAAATTACTGAAAAAATCGGAGCAAAAACAAATAATCCGTACTAGATTGAATTTTTTATTTTTGTTTCTGACATTAATTGTTTGACTAAAATATTTTCTATTCATGCAAAATAAGAACGCGGGGCAATGTAAGGATAATATGTTACATATTTAGGTAATTTTTTGCATTTTCTATATAGTATAGAATAGTATCTAACACTTAATTTTTTAAAAAGCAAACCTTTTCTACTTTATATAAATTTCATTCTACATATATTTTTTAACAAGTTAAGTAATACTATGTCTCCATTGAGAGATTTATCCATTAAGATTTAATAAATCCAGCTGCTAAATCACAACCGTCTCCATTACCACAACGAGATATGTTTGACGTTCACATTTTTAAATATTTGACGTTTGTTTATGTATGATTTTATAAATACAGTTGCGGACATTGATATACAGACAGATAAAAAGAAGGCACCAAGCGGAATTTCATTATATGAATTCTGAATATTATTGGCTTCTTATTCGTGGTAAATATGTATGTATAATATATAGTTTGGAAAGTGTAAAGAATCATTTTCCCGAATTTAAGAAAAATTATCAAAACGGTAAGAAAAATTTGCGGAAAGAAAATTTTTTGTAGAACTCTCTTATTCATAGGAGGGAACCGAAAATCCAATCGTGGGCCTTTGGCGTATCAAGAATACGGACTGAGTTCTAGAGGATGTTCGGTGCAATGTTTGCAAATTTTTTTTCGCAGCGCGTAAATGACTTATAGAAAGCGGAGAAGACTCGGAATGATATTACTATAAAATATTTCTTCTAAATTTTTAGTTTTCAAAATAATATTTTCTTAATTTATTACAACCACAGTTATGTAAATAAGTATTACTAATTTTCCTCCCAAACTAACAAAAATATAAAAATCCCTAAAAATACGAAAATTCATGTTTTTATGATAGGCTAGATTTCATTGTCCTCAACTGTATTTTGAAAATACAAATGTCATTTGACTTATGGCATGTGAATTTGTGGTTGCCACTCCAACAAATTGTACTTATTGATAAATATTATTGAAGATTTGACGAAGATTTAACCTAAATCTACTGCCTTTCGAGATTTAATTTTATATGGTAAATCTCAAAAGATTTAACGTCAAATCTCGTCAGAGGGCTAAATCTTCATTAAATCTCACAATGGAGACATAGTATAAAGTTCTGCATCCGCCAATTTGTACAGCCATACATCAAAAAATAACGAAGTTACTTTATTGACGCATTGCTATGAAAGAGTTACTTTTTAACAGTGAGATTTGGCTAACTTTCATTTTTTTTTACTGAAACCGGTGGTGAACACTCAAAAAACGGCCCCAAGAGGGGCATAACATGAATGAAAAAAAACGGAATAGATTGGAAGTCAAGCGGAGTAGTGGAGTCGATTTCAAATTTTTTCAAAAACCGGAGTAAATCTAATCTGATCTTAGTTGAGTCCAAACACTAGTAGGGAACGAATTCTTTACATTTTAACGCTAATGACCCACAGATGGCGGGAAAACACAGGGTTGTATCAGACTTTCGACGTGGTTTCGAGTTGGTTAGCTTTTAACCATCTCAGTGAAATGGTTAAGTGCTGTCATTTTTATATGACGAAACTACGCTAAATGAAGTGGGTTATTGGGATAACCAACTAAACAGCCATAACTACGTGGTTAGCCCCGGTGGGGACATGGTATTAGCTGCAATACACTCCGCGCAGTTAGCAATCCACTCTGCGACCGATTGCCGACAACCAACCCAATAGAACCTCTGCTTAACCTTCTCCAGGGTCTTCGTGATTCCCAGGTGCCCTCCACTAGGACCATTGTGGAATTCCTTGAGTACATCCGGAATTCTTACCCTTGGAACTACTATCAGGTTGCGGGAGCACTGGCCATCTTCGCTTTCCCATACCCTATGCAAACAGCCAGATATTAATTTTAAGCTGTTCCATTGTGCCCAGTACGCCTTTGCGATGGGGCTCTCCGCTGCCATTTGCTCCTTAGTTGGCCTCCTGTCCACCTCCAGTCCATGCATCAAAAGCTCCAGATCTGGATCTTCCTGCTGACACTTTCGTAGCTGTTCTTCCTTCCACTCTTCCGATGGTGTTATTGTCGTTAGACGGACGTCTATAATGTCCTCTTTTCCCTCAGCTTTTGAGCAGTGTTTACATTCCAGGCTACATGGTCGGCGGGACATGGCATCAGCATTACCGTGGACACTTCCCTTGCGGTGCTCAATAGCGAAGTCATAACTTTGCAGTCTCTCAATCCACCGAGCTAGCTGTCCTTCTGGATTCTTAAACTGTAGTAGCCACTTCAGCGCTGCATGGTCCGTTCGAACTCGGAAACGTTGCCCATAGAGGTACTTGTGGAAATGTTTGACGCAGTCCACCAACGCTAGTAGTTCTCTCCGAGTTACGCAGTAGTTCCTCTCTGGTTTTCCAATCGACCGGCTATAGTAGGCAACTACCTTCTCCTGCCCATCAATTACCTGCGACAGTACGCCTCCTATGGCATAACCACTAGCATCCGTATCCAAAATAAACGTTGCCCCTGGAACGGGATACGCTAGCATAGGTGCAGTACATAGTCGTTCCTTCAGAGTCTGGAAAGCCTCCTCCTGCTCCTTGTTCCACTCGAAGGCTCTATTTTTCCTAGTGAGCTCGTGGAGGCTATTAACAACGCTGGCGAAATTCGGAACAAATCGGCGGTAGTAGGTGCATAGCCCAAGAAAACTTCGTAGTTCGTGCAGGTTCTTAGGTCTTGGCCAATCATTTACTGCTTCTATCTTTTCCTTCGCAGTACAGATGTCCTCCGTTGTCACCTTGTGCCCTAAGTAGTTCACCTCCTTCCTGAACAGTGAGCTCTTTTTAGGACTTAGCTTCAGACCAGCGCCAGCTAACCTCTGGAAAACTTCTTCCAAATTGTTCAGGTGTTCCTCAAAGCTTTTACCCAATACGATTATGTCGTCTAGATACACCAAACATGTTTTCCAATGCAGTCCTTTGAGCGCCTGGTCCATAGGTCGTTCAAAAGTGGCAGGAGCGTTGCATAATCCAAAGGGCATCACCGTGAATTGCCACAGACCGTCTCCAACGCTGAAAGCTGTCTTCTCATTATCCTCGTCACTTACCTCCACTTGCCACTTGCTCTTAAGGTCGAGTGTTGAGAACCACTTTGTTCCAGTCAACGAGTCCAGAGTGTCATCGATCCTGGGAAGATGATAGCTGTCCTT